CTCAGATGCTGGCATTAAAAACAACAATCTCACTAAGTGATATATCACTTCCCTGAGCCAGAGATCAGAGTATACTGTTTAGCAGGAGGAGCTTTTTTGATGGTTGCAGAAAATATGTTGCAGCCGATAGCCAAGTGTATGGTGTCTTATGAGTTTTCCAGATTTTTGGATGCTGGAATTCTCCATCCCACATCCCTTTCTGGCTTCTCTGTTTGCTATGTCACTGCAAGGTGACAGCTGAGCAATGGCCTTCCCCTGTGTTCTGATAATTGAAAAGTGTGATGGCTGGCTGCTGGTGTAACGACCATCTGTGAGTCTGAGTGGTTTGGTGAGTGTTGCATCAGTGGGCGGGAAGGTCGAGGGTTATGTGAGAGCCAGACAGCCTCCCCCGGGGAGTTGTTAACACCTCATAGATGCCAAAAGACCCCAAGATGACCCTTTGCAGAGCCAAGACTCCTAATGAGAAAGAGGATGATTATCCCACTGTGTGTTAAATATGAGCATGTGTTGCTATGAATCCTGTAAACAGTTATAAGGTTAAATGCAGTGGAAATGTGTTTGGAAAAAAAAAAGCCAATTCTTCATCATCACAACTGAATTACAGAAACACGACAGTCATCATGTAGAAAACTCATTACCTCCACAAACAATTAATCATGAATTAATGACGTTGCACAGTTGGCCCACCAAATATTAATGACATCTGCATAAAAGGAACAAATGCTGAATGTTAAACAGTCCATTCAGTTTATATTAGGACAAATAACAAAGCTTCTTTTTTTTTACTACAAACAATAAGAAAGGAGAAAATAAAAAATAGAAGTCAAGTTTTATGATTATCATCAGCATGAACTGGATAATATTATTGGTGGCTTGTGACACCTCCACCAAAAGGAAAATCACTGGGTTGCATGCAATATCTTCCTAAGTTATGTATGTATAGTGCTCCAGTGATTTCAAAATGACAAACATCCAAATGTCAGCAATGAGAGGAAGAGCTTAGTGATACATTAGCCAATACATTTCTATTATGAATGCAGTTGAATGCATTTCAGTCAACCATTGCAGACAAATTACTAGATATTGCATTCCTGTCTTAGAATGAAATGAAGAAATAATTATTCAGCTTGCGGAGAGTAATGAGAAGGTGGAGCTGTGATGGATTTGATTAAAGATGTCAGAGAAAACACGCTAATGACCATGTTGATTAGTTAGATTGCTTTAAAGCAGCTGCGGATGCCATTAATCTACAACATAAACAAAAGTCTCATGTTGGTCAGCGCTGTGTTTGCAGTTTACTGTCGTCTGTATGCCATCGTGATGCCTCTTCCCCCGCTTTTTTTTATGTCCAGATGCTCATTTAATGCAAAAAATAAAGTTTTCTTTTATGCCTTCCTGTTCGGACTAAAATGAGTCATTTTACAAAACCCAGTTTCTCACTGATCAGAACACAGACATGAAATCCAACCATTTCTTTTTAGATACACACAGAATATATATACCTTAAACTCTCTAGCTGATCTTCTCTCAAATCACCATTTTCATTCCATGCTCTCCAAGCCTCTGTCTACTGTAGGATGTCATTCAATGAACACATTGCCAGAATTGATTGATATCTGTACCACAGATAATCCACTGTGCTCCTCCTCCTCTCCTTCCCCTCATCCTCTCCTCTTTTCCCTCCTTCAGGGTTTTCCAAAATGAAAAAGAGTGCACTGCCTCTTTCCTGCATACATTTGCACACACACACACACACACACACTGAGCAGCCTCCCCTCCGTTGCTGCTCCATTAGGCCTGAATTGTAGTTGTGATGTGTGGGACCCAGGGGAGGTGTTATTGTCAGACCTGATTTACTCAGCCCCATCTGACATGACGCTGGAGGGCGTGTGTGTGTGTGTGAGAGCCCTCTGTATGAGAGACAACAGGCACCCTGACAGGCTGAGAGGCCTTTACAGAGAGGACAGTTGAAAGCAACAGTTTAAAAGTAGCTGCCAAGAGAGGGCTGGGATTTAAAATTCAATTTCAGATTTTTTTCTTGAAAAAAAAAAAAGTGTTTGTTTAGAATCAGCTGTCTTGAAAAATATTCTAATAGTCACACATTAGAAAAGATATATTTGGATCATTTTGCTCTTACTGCATTTTGTGCATTTAATTAAAAGCGTCAATGTTTACATTGGTTGGAGGAGTCTTGAATACAAGTTTGCATAGAAAATTAATTTAATGACACAATCTAGCTTTACATGTATATGTGGGGCCTGTTTGTCAGGTTGATATTTTCATTGATGTAAAGAGGTGGAAATCTTTGTTAAGGTTAAAGACAGAATTGAAAAATGGCATTTTTATTCATAGCCACATATGAAAGTTCTGATTAATTAGCAATTATTTACCTTTGTTTTATTTTTGTTACTATTGTCTTTTGTACTACACAAGGGATTAAGATGTCACCTCCCAGTAATACAGCAAAAGGCTGTTCCAGAAAATTGTTAACTTACAGGAGCAACATCTTGCCTGTTCAAAATAGATGATAATTGCTCCCAACAAACAGCAATTTGTCCTTTTTTTCTTTCACACAAATAAAAAAAGCAGGGTGCACATAACTCCTTCTCAGACAGAGATTTCAGTTTCTTTGGGCTTTAATTTGAGAGCCATCATTAAACTGAATAACAAATTTGACTGTTCGAGCACAGAGGACCACATCTTTACCAGGAAAGAGACGTTTGAATTGTAATTTTGTGTATACAATTGAGGCAGTCATTCCCATATTCCCAATTTATAGTTCGCTTGTCACAGAAATCCCATTCAAGAGTCAGGAATCATATGATTATATTTTCCTTTTAGAAGTTTTGTGATAACTTCTTTGTTATCCTACTGATTCTTTTTCTAGATCTATCCTTCTAACATGTTCCCTCCAACTAAACAACAATGGGATTATCTTGGTACATACCACTGTATGACTTTACATCTCTCCTATATCTTCCTTTTTTCTCATGACATTTTCCCACCACTTACTTGTTGATGTGCTGTTAGTCAGCCAGTTGTATCCAAGCTATTTGACAAATTGCATTGCATACCTAACTTAATCTAATTATTTTCTTGAAAGGTGGTGGATTTTCAGGTCCATTTGAGAGAGTGGGTTGTGGTAATCCCAGTTGTTTGCTTTAAAGAGTTTTTTCCCCCCACAACCACCAACACCTCACACATGCTGTGAGAAAGTGTCTTAGAAAAGCTGGGAAGCGAAGGTGACAGAAAGCATAATTCAATCTGTAAGAAATTTTGACTAAAGAATGTCACTACAAGTCTTTATCTTAAATGGAAAAACTACCAGATGTTCTTTAAAGCTAAATGAATGCTTTCAAACCTCAGCAAATCATACGTTTTTATGAGACAAAATGCAAACAGGATGCAAGCTGACCAAAGTGGACATTCTAGAAAATTAACACGGCCTTTGACGTTTCACTCTCACCCCCTTGCTGTCTTTACCAAACACTCTTAGGCTCTGGTTACACACCTGTTGCTTTTGCGAGGCAACAATGATACCTGCCACTCAGATGGAAGGGCTCAGCTGAATATCCTGCCCGGTGTTCCTTTTCTTGTTGTTGGGAACCTGAGGAGCTGAGCAGACTGCCTTTAATAGAAAAGGAAGCTGGAGGTTCCAATTTAAAAGGGAAAAAAGAGGAATGATGACCTCTTACTCTTTTCATTATACGTGTCAGAATTTAAAGTTATGAAACAAACACAGACTAACATAAAAGCTAATAATTAATCATTCAATAATTACCAGCCTATAATTCATTCATTCAATCTATTTTTTCTCAAAAATATATATTTTGTGTTTATATTTTACGTATTTAGCATAGTTGTAAGACTATCATCTTATATGCAGAAAAAGAAGGACAGAGAATTCTCAGAAATGAATTCAAATGAACCAATAACATCTTATTCAGAAAACAAATGGCTACATAATGATGAGAAATAAAAAAGAGGAGGCCCATTAAAAAAGGAAAACTGGATAATAATAAAAAATTCTAGAGGTTCCCATTGTAACCTGGAACTGTTTTGTGCTGCAGGTACTGAATGTAATGTATTGAGGACGAGCCTGTTAAGACGCTTGAGAAAACAAAAGAAGAACACAAGTCAGTCAGACGCAGTATTTCATAAATATGGACACAATTTGTATGTGACTTTCTTTGTCTTCCCAAATTTGGCATTCTGTTTTTATCCCATTCTAAATAAACACCTTGGCCCCATGTGTAAAACCCTCAATTAACAAGGCTTCAGAAAATCCCAACAAAGAAAGCCATATTTGTTAAAAAATATCCAGTCATACGCACAAAAACTGAATTTTAAGCCAAAAATATCACTGCAGACTTACACTCAAACACAAACATGGGCCCAATCAGACCCACATATTCACCATTTAATCTATTTAATTGAACCTGACTTTGAATAGCTAAATAAATGAGGAAATTCACAAGAGGCACTCGATCCCTTCTTGGATAATGGATTGGAGATTCCTTTCCCATAGGGGCATTTGGGCAAACAAGACTCGGTAATCTCTGAATTGATGCGTTGACTGCATCAAATGTCTCCGCTAAAGAGCTGTTGAACCCCTGATACAGTGTTGGTGGTGGGCCAGATACTCAATTTTGCAGACACAGACACAACTACAGGCTCGCTCTGGTTTCACTGCCGTCATGTGCTGTTAATATGCCGGATGAATGTGTTGGTTATCGGCCACATGTGATGCACGTGACAAAAAGGTAGCCAAACACTGGCTTGTTACTGTTTTCAAGCTTTGAAATTGAAGATTGAACAAAGAATTATGTTGATATATTCACAGTATAAAGATATCATAAATGTTTGATAATAATCTTCTGGAATGCTTTAGTGTTGTGAACTATTCTTTGCGGGGATAATTAATTTCTAACTGCATCCCCCAAAAAAACAAAAAACGGATCAAACAAAATTTTGAATTGGGTGACAAATTTATTAAAGTCTTGCCATTTAATTATGAATCATCATCATTACCAGAGGGAATAAATAATACATAAAACATTTTCCACAGAAACAAACATATACATCAGAACCCCCAGATGCTACATGTCTGCCTTGGGGTGGTAGAACAAAACGAACAAAATACATCATAGGACACACAAATGCATAGAAGTAATTGGACCCCTAGGTATCGAGACAAAATCTACATTTATGTCTAAATCCCTGTTCAAGAATGTACAAAGTCTTCATGCCCAGCTTCTTATTTATGTCCAAGAAGGTGTTTGTATAAAAATAAAGTCTCCACAATGATAAACCATTATATATTCATATATATATATGTGTACATATATATAGACATTTGGCAACAACCAGACATTTAAAGACTTTGAGGGTTGAACTGAATGCTTCACCTGAAAACACCTGTTAACAAAGAATGTCGTGATGGGAGTTGAATGAATGAGAATTTCTGAAAATCCCAGTATTGATTTTGTAAATATGTTCAGTCTTTGTCAGTGCTGTTTGTGGTTTTAAAAAAAGTTAATAGTAATATCTGTGACTTCAACTTCTTGTTTTTTGCATGACATCTGAAAACTGAAAGACAGTGAGCAGGCCAAGTGCTTTAAAATCAACATTTCCCTACTTGTTTCCATCAAGTCCATAAACATCGAATCTATCAACATGTCAGATTTTTCCGAGAACCAGTGACAGCAGGCTACTCTTTTACATGATCAGTGTCCTCTGCGGCCATCGTCCTCCTGGGAAATGCACCAGAAGACATGACCAAAAACGCAAATAAGAGAGTTTTTTTTGTTCACCAATCAGAACTGTCCGTGGTCCACCTCGTCTAACCAGGACGCTGGACTAGCGGGAAAGTCTGGGTATCCACCACTGCTGCCGGTGGAGAGGTCCGAGCTGGGGCCATTTGCAGCTCCCATGGAGACCCTCACAGCCGGGTTGATGCCAGGTCCTCCGCCTTGGCTCATGATGGAGAGGCCGGACTCCGGGTACACGAGGCTTGAGATGAGAGGCTGGTGTCTGGGTAGTGCCTGAAGGGACCCGGGAGACTGGGGGAGGACGTAGGGGCTGTTGGAGCGGATATCATGGAACTGGTCTTGGGAAGGGAGGACGCCATGTTCCAGAGGAAAGGAGCCGTGGCTGTTACCGCCTTGGCGACCTGCCATAGCCGGAGAGGAGTCACTCAGGCTGCTATAAATGCTGTTAGTGTGGCCAAGCTCTGACATGGGAGGTTCATCTGTGGAAAATAAATCATGCATAACAACCTTAGTTTGACAGGTTTGCATTTTATAAATTGGCAATATTCCAAAATAAGCATGATCAGTTTATTCCACATTTGACCCATAGCAGGATGCACGAGCATGTAAAATAAAAAGATAATTTCACTGGGCTGGAAGCTTGTTTTGCTTGCATGTAGAACATTTATCTGTAACATTTTTTTCAAAGAAATAATATTCCAAACACAGTAAATTTAAAAAAGATGCTGCTGAGGGGATCAAATTGCTTCTGTTTTCTACAGGGCTGTGTGAGAGTGAAGTAAGAATTTACTACTATTAATCATGTGACAGACAAAAGCCTTATTTTTTTTTATTTTAAAATATTTTGTAATATTTTTTTTTCAAACACATGGAAAGTAAATGTTGAAGCAGGTTAATGTAATTATAAATTTTACATTATGTATTGAAACATTTAATTTAGTTAAATTTGGTCAATTTGGTTTTCAAATGCAGTCTGTAAAAGAATTGATTGATTCAGTTATAGACAAATTTGGATGTTATCAGTGATCCGTTCTTTTTTTTGCCAGTGGAAAGTAATTTTGTACATTTTGTACATTTAATAACAATAACAATTTTCAAAAAAATTCAAAATTGAAAGAACTCAACTATTCATCTTTAAAATCATGTCTGATATAAATGTGTTTTTGGTTCCATTACATGTGAACACTGATTACATTTTTGGAGACGTTGACTTTACCTGTAAAGGACACCTCAGCATCACTGTCCATGCCCTCCTCCTGGATGCTGTCTTTGTCAGATTTGGAGCTGCCTCTTGATCTCTTCATGTTGCGAAAGTACTGCCCCCACCGCTGCCGCCCAGCATCTTTCTTCAGCCTTTTCTCTTTAGCTCGCCTGTTTTGAAACCAAACCTGAAGGGAAAAACAAGTAAGATGTTTGTTAAAGCTTTAGATCACTCATAGGCTGAATAGATTCAGCCTATTTTGTAGAAATGACCATTAGTGAGTAGGTTAAGAAAAAGGAGCCAAGAACATCAGAAATAAGTGTCCACCCCCACAGGTTTCTTAGTTGTAATGCACCATATAACAGCAAAAGCTTTACCTCCACACTATCCATTTGTGTTTACAGTTAACTGTTCTTATTATTAATGCCACAAAAATGTTTTTAATTTTTGTGATGAAGTGTTGATAAATTCAACTTAATGTCACTCATCTCTGCTTAATCTTTGCTTCTTACTATGTCTCACAGCCAACATGATTTTTTTAGTCATCACACCTCTCGCACAGTGAGTGCCTCATGTTCTTTTTTTTTTTTCTTAATTTCTTGACTCACACATTACGTTTTAAAGCATTTAAAATAAATTCATGTTCAAGGACTATCTGGACACCACTTAATGCCTTTGAGAGTCCAAGAGGGAGACCGGAGCAATGACACTGTGCAGTAACCCCGGGACCAGTTTCCCCTCAATCAGATTTATCACACATTTAATTAACTTCACTTCAACTTGTCTTTACCTCAATGTAATGAGAACTTAGATTATTCCATTTTTATTCAGTGTTAATGATTGATCTTAACTATTTTGTATTATAGTTTATCTGCCATTTGTGGTCCATATGTGTATAGTTTATAATACTTTGATCTTGAACAAAAAATGAACCATTTTCAGCCAATGGGCACAAAAAGCACATGGCTTTACTTTCTTCTTAATGGTATTCCACCCTGAGCTGAACCCTCTTCACCCCTTTCCTTTCACTGAATAATGAGGAGCATTTTAGTGGCTTCTGTCCCTACTTTTGTCCTTGCAAATAAAACAATATATATGACCAACAGCTAGCAACTAACGTGAGGCTCTCCAGCTCCAGACAATGTGTGAGAAGCCCTCTTAGCATTGTTAACGAGCCTGGATTTAAACCATGCTGACTTTCATGTAGACTTCCTTTTACTCCATCTAGTCGTAAATCCCCCCCTCCCCAACACACACTTATTCGTACAGTATGTGCCAGATCAGCTATTGTCCCTTGATAATGAAGTCAGGACACTAATGGAAGAGCTCTTATTGGACAGCATATTAATAATACACTGTACCTGCACAACCCGCATATCCAGGCCTGTCTCTGATGAGAGCTGCTCCCGGACGTGCCGGGCTGGTTTTGGAGAGTTGTTGTAAGCGTTCTTCAGTGTTTCCAGTTGTTTAGCTGTGATGGTTGTGCGCGGCCTTTTTGCAGTTGAGTCCGCCTCTGAAAATGGATTAATATGTCAAGAAAACAGCGGACGGACCCCATCCGAATGTATTTACCAGAAAATGTAATCGGGGCACTCTTTTAAAAAAAAAACTTGAAGTAATTTAGAAAAAATAAGATGGCAACCAAAATTACCAAATTAATACAACAATAGTTTATGTATTTACTTAAAGTAAAGCAAATATATACATTACATATTATTGAATAATAATATCATGTTAATTGCATCCCATCGTTTAAACTCAAAGTATTAAATAGAAACATTCACCACAGCGACAAAAAGCAAATAACTAGTATAATGCACAAGTTTTTCATTTTACATAGGTCTTATATTTAATTTAGGTTTACCTATAAACCCAGACGGGGCACATTTTGCATAAATGAATAATTTCTGCACATCTGTTTGCCAGCAAAGCAAAATGCAAAACTGTCATCCAAATGGATGCAGCCCATAATTGCACCTTGTCATTAGTAAAATAAACACGTGTGTTTTTTTTTAAACCAAAACTTGTTAGATCGTTGCATAAATCAGCACTGTAAATTCACAATAAACAGATGGGGAAATAAAAACTTGACCATGCCCTATATGGCCCATCAGGAATGGGCCTGCTGGGATTTTCTGTAATATGAGGAAAGAGGAGTGATTGATATTCAGCACGAGGTCAGGGAATATTTTATGGACAATTGGCCGTATCCTTTTAGTTGAAGTCAACAACAAAATATGATATCCATTCTGAAAAGATATAATCAGTGACAATAATAATGAAAAATGTACATATTTTAAAATGTGTAGGGTATAAGATGAAGAAGCTTTGTGCATAAAAAGTACATTATTTTGAAAGATTCCACCCTGGCCTATGAGGCTTATGTTTTTGTGTTCATAGTGGACAGTAACTGTATCTTAGGTCACATTTTCAAGATTCAAACTATGATTAGAATAGTATTGCTAATAAGTAAATAGGCAACATGCTTGATGCACTTTTTTATGTTAATTTAGCTTTAATGTAATTTCCTTCATGCCCGTTTCTTCATACAAAGGAAATTTTGGAAAATGGATTGTCTGTGAAGAATATAATTTTAGAATGGCCAAGAAATTGTGGAAAATACAAACCAAAACAAAAGCAGCAACTCTAGATGTATGCTCCCTTATGTACAGAAACAAGCCTGGACTATTTTATGAACCACGTCACTGCGCACCCAAAGGCTCCACAGACAGAACTCCCGGTTTTACACACCCGTATACGCGCATGTTCGTGGTCGTTTCTCCACCAGACCCCCATTTCCGTCACCGTGCAAAGAGTTATTGAAAGCTGATCTCTTGGAGTGCAGAGTGCAAATGTAAGATTCGTGGCCCCAGCTTCTCTCAGTTTAGTATCGATCGGGTTGCGCAATTAGCGCGGTTGGGTCAGAGTTTATGGATGACCTCAACGCCACGTCAAACGCTCAACCCCAGGTAGATGATTAAAGTGTTTTCTGGGCTGACCTGGCCTATGAGGGAAAGTTGTCTGCACGCAATTTTCTCCGTTGTTCTGTCATTTTACTTTCAGGGAATCGAGGGAAATGCTGAGAGCAGCTCACCTCTCTGCTTGGCGGTCTCATAGTCGGCTTTGCAGACCAGCCTGCTGTCCTCCATCAGGTAGTATTCGTCACCTGTGGCCAGCTGCCTCTTGCACACGATGCAGGCGAAACAGTGCAGGTGGTAAACGAAGTCCTGCGCTCTCCTCACCACCTGTGTGGGCGGAATACCTTGCTGACAGGCCGCGCATTTGGTCCCGAATCTCCTTTTGGGATATTAGAGGTTCCCCATTAAAACAACCGAACCATGGAGGTAAACCAACGATAAATGCAAACAAAAGTTGATCAAAAAACAACAAACAACAACAAAACAAACAGACAAAAAAAGGCTCACTCACTTGAAAAAGTCGTCTTTGCAGTACACGCTGTCTCCCCTGCTGAAGCACTTCTCCGCCAGCTGCGCCTGGCAGTCGCTGCATTTCAGGCACTTGCTGTGCCAGTGGCGGTCCAGCACTTTGAGGATGAACCGGTCCACGATGTGCTGACTGCAGCCTGCGCACACTGGGATTTCTGCGGGGGGGAAAAAAAAAAGTCAGCATTTTAGTCATTACAGCACGTCAAAAAAAGCGACTCCCCTCACAAACCGAGAATGATCACAACAGCTGCTAAAGTTAAAAAATAATAATCCGTGTGCGGAGACGTCTGCTTCGTGTTATGTAAGACTCCCAATAATAACAAAGGCTTGAAAACTCCGATCCACATCCTTGACTGGAATTTCTTTTCATGCGATTGGTATTTTTTTTTATAATCGTGGAAACGCAATGAGAAGAGAAATCACTATGATCTCTTGATCGCGATACATAAAAACACAACCTTACTTAAATAAGGCAGCTATATACCTTAAAATTTGTTCGTGGTTAAATCCGGTAAGTCCTTAAATGTTAATTTAAATAAGTTAAATCTTTATAAATAAAATACAATATAAATAACGAATAAAGCAAGTCTGCAATTTGCATGTTTTTACACAAACATTTAAGATACACAGTTCACATTTCTACGGGTGCTGTGACGTTTAAATAACAGACCAAAAGCAAATCATTTGTAAGGATAAAAATAACAAAACAACTAGGCCTATCAGATCATTTCCCAGGCTCATCGAAAAGTCTGATGACGATATGGATATAATTAAGAATCACGTAATAAATTACACAACGAGATTAAAGTACAGAAAATTTCGTGGGCTGTCGCCTCCTCACAAAAGACTTAATATGTTCATGATATGAAAATAGTTTTTCTCGTTTTAGATCACACAGTCTGCATAGACATGAATGTATCAAAGAAAAAAAATCTAATTTAGTAAAAAATAATTTAAGACATTTCCACAGCTCTAAAAAGGACTTACAATGGGCTACATCCCGAAATTAACACAGGATCAATTATTGAAACAACGAACAGCAAAATCGATAATGTTTTACTCTTATATCAAATGTAATTCTTAATATTTTGATGAACAGTCCTAAAAGGCAATGAGGACACACCGAGACAGCAGCTCTCCGGGACATTTAGGCGGTTTGATGCAAATAAAAAAAAAAGAAATCTAAATCGCAGAGACGTTATTCGGCCTCTTTATTACTAATTAAAAGACGCGCAACCACTTCTTCTTCCATGGACACAGGGAATCGCGCTGCCATTGTTCTTCCGTGGACTGTTCATAAAACATTGACGAGCCATTTCTTCTAGCATCACCAGCAGCGAGCCTCGCACAAGTGCGGCAGAGGCCACGCCGAGAACAGGTGTACCCAGCTCATCACTAATTCAGTGCGCTGGGTAAAACTAGAAAGCTGTGGCCTGTGGCCTGTGGTCTCCAACCAACACGGTGTCCAGGCAATTAGCGCACCTTGCGCAAGGCCCACTCGGAATATTGAAATTCACAAATGCCATTGACGATTTGATTTCTAACCACGACCTAGAATTGGATATAAACAAAGATGTGCCGTATTCGAGCACACCGTCCACGTGCCTTAAGCTGCATGACGAAATGGCCTTCGAGAGAGAAAAATGCGTAAAACCTGTATGCCCAAATTCAAAGGAAGTTCAATCGGATTCATCCCTCGACACCATGTGCTGAACGAAAAATGAACAATCTTCGTTAGGATAAAGTGTTAGAACGTTAGGAATAGAGTCCGGAGTCGGATACAATAACTGAAATTAAAGAGAGACTATAACCCACTCAACACGTGGAAAACAGGTTGCATGCCCGTAAACTAAACTGAAAAGCCCAGAGACTACAAATTATGCACAAAATTAGCTCAACATTAACATAAACAAATGTAAGTACTGATATATACAGTATTTCTTCCATTTACCTTTTCTCAACTCCTCACTGTGTGACAGCAGAGCCAGGAGCATCTCAGCATTATGTGATGACTCTTTTGGAGAGTTCCGCTCACCACGACCATCCATTGCTCATGATTTACGCGTACGTTAACTCAAACCTGTCTCGGTCGCGTCTATCCACACATTTACACCCACACAAACAGCAGGAGTGTCAAATTTGAGGAGCTAAAGACTGAGAGGCGTGAGGCTGCCGTGGAGTTTGCTTGTTGGCTACTTCCCCCCCCACCACCCCCGATAGAGCCGGAGCAGGATTACGCTGCGCCGTTTCCCGGGTTACAGGGAGACAGATCAACATCACCTACTGAGTATCTTACCCGGAAGGAGAAGAAGCAAGAGTTGAGGAGAGAAACCAATAGAGTTTCACCACATTGGGACGTGTTAACGATCTAACGGACTTCATCAACGTGGACACTATTTTATTTGCCTGCGTAATAAATAGCTGCCAGATTGGAGGAAAACTACATCTCAGCCATTGTATTTATCTTCATCACCGTTATCGATGTTGCACTGGGACGATTCAGCCTGTTCTGGCTTTGGTCATTCCCATCATGAATCGGAGTAAGATGAGGAACGAAATAAGTATTAAATAGTATTCACAGAATTGTTGAAACTGGCAACAATCTTTCCCTCGGTTTTCCAACAGCTGAAATTGCAAACAAATATACAGGACATCAAGTGTAAATTACGCACGTTTCTAAACTGAACCAGTGTAATAAGTAAAACTACAATGGGGGACATCATTATTTTTTTATTAATAGTAATTGTATTGGAGCAGGCATGGTGGCCGTGCTGACTGTTGTATCTAAATTAATATAAACTCTTACCTAAAAGCCATTTATCAGACTGATCAAATATTGCAGTATCCACTCTAAAACTCTCAGTTTATAAATAAATGACCAAAAAATGAGGCATACTCAGACTTAGATACACAGGCTTAGTTTCGCTTGTGCTGAGTGCGCAAAGGAGAGTGTTTATTTAGGAGAGAGATTGGCTATTCAATAACATGTTGATCGGGCAGGTACCCCAATGAATTTTATTGACACTGATCTTTGGCTCAAAAGAGCGCCTGGGGAAATCACTGGTAGTGCCACAACCTGCCGCACGGCTGATGAATCTAAAATCAATGTCCCATTTGCCTGTATTTTCAGAAGTATATGAAAGGATTTTTGGAGAAAGGTGTGGGGTTCATGGGTGCCCCTTTTATTTTTCAGCTTTGTAATATTTTTTATGTCACATTGATCGCTCGCCTTTGAGGGGGTGAGCCGACAGTAATGTGACAACAAAGACATAAAATGACCATCAGAGTAATGGCTAGCCAGTTAGGGTATGTATCAAGGATTATATTGAAAAACAACAAGGTTTTGTGTCTGTTTTTGTCAAAATGCATTCATAATATAGAAAAAAAGTGGTTTGCTGCTATTAAAAAAAATCCTAGTTATCATCCATATGACGCCTATTTCAAGTAACATGGACGAGCACGAAACACGAATTCAACTATTTTCAGTAAGCCACCGAATATTTCTCCCACAGAGCAGACATATGTCCTCACTCTGGTGGAAAGCTTGGCATGCAACCGTCCCAAAACGCCACTAGCACCTCTCCTGCAGGTGTCCCACCTGTCGGGACAGAGATATCACACCTGTTGAGCGCACACAGCCGGGCTGGGGACGCGAAAGGGAGCGACTTTGCGCCTGTTCACAGTCTGTCGTTCATCCACACGGGGTGCAGTCTCCCCGGCGGATCCGATGGCCCCCCACATCCGCTCCCTGTGCGCTCCCCGTGACAACTGCAGGCGGTGGTGTGAAATGACAGCACGCGCATAACATCTGTTGGTGTGATTCTTAAACAATGAAGACTCATTACGGATTCATAACGTCTTTCGCACACGGAGGCAGCCCTGAACAGTCTGTTCACACCAGCATGACTTGCCGGTTTCAGGATTTCCGCAACTTTTATCTCACCCTTCTATCGCTTTGCAATTGAGGCCCAGTTAAATGTAAATACATTTTTTGGGGGGAAAAAAATCCATAACTTATTGCTGTGGATTCAAACATTTTTATAGCACCTGTTTCATGGTTGTCAAATACATCACTCGCTTCCTTTCTGCTGTTTTGTTGCAATGTCAGCAATTTCACCCTTGAGTTAGTGACATTGATCCCAAGATGCCAGTAAAAAAAAACAAAAAAACTCTGCATTTGCTGTATTCAATACCTGTTTTTGCCTAAACTCAAGTTATTATAGATAGCATTGCCACAGCAAAAAATGTGTGTCTTACCTTGGCCTGAATTGTAGCGAGAGAAATTCCCAGCGTTTTGACAACTTGACCCCGGGTGTTCCAGCAGCATTCTGAAGATGGTCCAAGTGAAGAAAACGGTGCAGAAAGTTTTTGATATCAAATGAAAAAAAGAAGAAGAAAAAAACTTTTCAAGCTTCTAATTATACTCGGATTCCACCCCGCTTCTTCTTGGGAGCTTTATCCTCTTGAGACAGACTTGAAGTCTATTCGAGCTTGATTCAGATGAACGTTCAAACGGACTTTTGTCGACCTTTTTCCTTTCGTCGGCCTCCCAGAGCGGAACCTATGAATATTCATCAAGTTGCTCTCTGGTGTCTGGTTTGATGAGTTGGCGCTGAGGAGTGGGTGGCCGTGGAGAAAGTGGCTGACCATTAGCCGCGTCAGCTGACCAGACTGGGAGCCTGCAGCCTGAAACTTAACTTCAACCAAAACAGCCAGCGGTCAGTGCTGCCTCTGTCCAGAGTGCTGAAGGGGGAGTTTCTCTGAGCGGGCTGCAGGGGTGTGTGCTGCTCTAATATCCCCAGAGGCTATCTTTAAGCACGCTCCCAACCGCACACCCCAGCCCTCCCCTCTCTCTCTCCTTATCTCTGTTGTGTTGCACGTGTCTGTCTTTCAAGGCGCACAATGGGGCAATTGGACATTGTTGTCATGGGTCTTTTCTTTTGTTTGTTTAAAAATAGACATCGATGACATGCAGGGTGGGATGGAACGTAAAAAAATACCGTTGTCTTTATGGTTTGGTATAACTGTGAAAACTTTGTAAGCACAGATACTGTACACTGAAAATTGGTTTACATGTACTGACAAAGTTTGAGTTGAACTGAAATAACAAAAGTAATTTTAACACACGTTTTTGTTTCTAAAGATGATATATAGATCAATAGTTAGATAGGGGGGATGTTACTAGGTATTAGTGATACAATAAACAAACACAGGCTTCCCCAGGGTCGCCTGTTTGGCTGTGTGCCATGTCTCCCTCATTTAAGACAGTGCCAATTAGGACCGTAACGCATATTCTGACGTAGTGCTACAGCTTTGATTCAATTTTACTCGCCCAGCACGCAGCCAACAAGTGCTGTAAGCCAATTAGAACCCCTGTGCTCGTCATTAGTCCATCCAGGGTAATTATAGTCCCAAACTTGCTAAATTAATTTACCAAAATATGACCTCTTATTCCCAGCATTCCTTAGATGCCCTCTGAAAACATTCAGACATTTAAAACTGAATGTATAATTTCACAAAGGGATTGTGTTTTCATGGGCAGCAATGGCAGATAAACAAGTAAACATGGGTTTTTGTGGAGATTAACTGAGAACTGTTTGTGAAAACGGAAGGACTTCTGCTCAGTATAGGCTAAGAGGAATCCTAAAGCCAACGCAGCTGAGTGAGCTTAAATGACAAACACAAACATCAGCTCTACCTCCTTCTCTCTCTCATACAGTCAGAGAACAAAGTGCTTGCCAACTGTCCATAGCAATGTGCTGTCACATGTAATATGTGAGCATATGTAGTATAAAATAGAATCTCAAAAAATTAGGGGGGGAAAAATATGAGTGGACCTTTTTTTAAACTGTTGATCAGGTTTTATGAGGATCAGAAAAGACATTATGAGATTATAATAAAACGTAAAGCTGAAATGCTTGGAAATACAGCTAACTTATTTCTCCACGACACTTCTCCTTTCCAAAACAATCCTTTTGGCACCATTGTATGAATATTATGAAACATGAAATATACCAAGGTTGTTATCCTGATTCGTTTGTGCACTGCAAATCATAGCAGAGCATCATCACAGAAAATTGGTAAAGCATTAACACACCTGGGTCTCACTGGAGAAAGCAGCTGCAGTCAGCTGCTAATGGTCCTTCACCAAAACGCTGCCTTTTGCACCTATGACAACTTGATTTTTGGCCTTGATTAGCTGGTGCAGCCGTCTCGAAAGTACCATGTGTATGAGGGCCACTTCAAAAGAACAAATGGTACATTTCATGTGAGACTGCTTTCGTTCAAGAGAGGACTTAGAGAGAGCAGCGTTTTCCTAATGCAGATATTCATTAAATTCTGTGCAATTTGAGGAGAATGGAAAACAATATTGATGCAATTTTTTCCTCAAATTTTACCACAGGTATTATAAAAACCACATTGAGTTTTTCATGCTGGTCAAGAAAAAAATCACACAGACATGGATTGTTATTTTGGACAGCTAAGACAAATATTAAATTAATATCTAAAACACTGAAAGCTAAAAAAGGCTAAAATCAAACAAAAAACACAGTGAGCAAAACCTCCTCACAGAAATCCTGAATATGTTTTTTTTACCTTTTTTTTTCTCTGAGGGTCAGTTCCAAAGTAGATAAAAATAAAATGCAGCAGGACTTTAATTTAGACTAGATTCAAATTTTTTTCAAGAAAAAAAAGATGAGCAAGCAGAAAAACAAACATAAGTCTTGTGTTATTTAAATGTCTTCTCAGCTACTTCATGTAACATTCTGGACTTTACTTTTCAGTAAAAAGTGACTGTTGGTCGTCATGACTATGTATTTAGATACACATCAGAGCACATGGCTTTGCTTTGTTTATATGTGCCATTGTACGTGCCTGCGTATGTCCCCATGTGGCCTTGTGGCCTTAACTGTGCGCATGTACTGTATGTGCATGCATGTTGTGTGTATGTAACTGCTTAAACACAGCTGAGTAAGGCGGCTGAGTGTCACTGCGGGGGGTCCATGTGCACCCATGCCACCCCTCTGACACCAGGCAGCCATTGTGCTCATGTCATGATCAATCATGTCGTCTGAAGACTGGCCTTGTCCGTGAGGGAGGGGACCAATCATACGCCTCATTACCCAGGCTTGGTTACTCCTAAAGGGAGTATACTCCCAAGACACCTCAGCCTGTTGCTGCTTGGCGAGAAAGACAAGGAGAAAATTTGTGTGAAGGGTATAAAAAAGAAGAATAGGAAATTAGTTTAAATGTTGATGTCAAAGATGGCTAAAATATGTTTTATCCAAGTTGCTTGATGGTGAAAGCTTTGAGATGCTCCATAATGACTCATGGCAGGGTTTTTCATATTCCAAGAACAAACAAAAAACAACAACAACAACAAAAACAAAACAAAACAAAACAAAACAAAACAAAACAAAACAAAACAAAACAAAACAAAACAAAACAAAACAAAAACAAAACAAAACTGAAAAAACAAACAAACTGGGCACAAAAGTTTAAACTATATCAGCATTATGAAGTGTATAGCCTTTGAGTACAGCAAACAGTCTATTACAAAAAGGTCCACTATTGCTTAGAAACCAGCATCAAGTTTTCAGCCATAGCAAGCAACTCTCATTGTTTTGAAATACTCCATCTGGCAAAGTTTCACTGACCAGGCTATTCGAGGCTCACAACCCCCAGCAGCTGGCTAAACTGCCCAACCGCTTCCCCGTTTGGCCTTCGCACTAACCGATACTCTGGTGGCTTTACCCCACAAACATACACAAGCACACACACAAGACAAACTGTCCGCCGGCCTGCCAGTCTTGGGGTCAGCTGGCTTGAGCCAGGGAAGGGGAGGGAGGTCTGCTGGGATGGGTGGTGTGGGGCAGCACAGGATGACACCATTTAGGCTTTTGTTATTCTACAAGACAGCAACAGAAGTGGGTCAAAAGTGTTTTGAGTGCACTGCAGGACCTTTGAAATGATCTTTGGATAGTTGAAGAATAAAAAAAAGACAAATGCTCTGAGCTGTGACTCCAAAACTTCTCCACTTCTAGAGGACCGGGAATGATCATACGTCCTTATGTGCTAAACTCAACAGCTGGGCCTTCAGATCTGAATGCAGGTTTCATTATTTAGTAGAAGGTCCTTCTCCAGCCTCAAAAGACTGTCACCTCTGCCCATCATCAACCCCTCTTAATATTGATATGCTAATGGTGAACAACACAAGGGACAAAGCTTGACTGCTACCACTGGAAACCATTACAATGGCCATTCAGTGAGTCTTTGACACTTTTACCACCCAACATGTGTCCCCGGTTTCATAAACAGACAATAAAGGCCAACAACTGCCGATCCATTCACATGTTGTCTCTCAGTTCCGATGGTCCGTCTGGGCTCTGGGATGGTCACTTGTTCTTTGTCCAGAGTGGAAATATCAGCTTTTTACCGCAATGATAAGCCAAAAGCAGCTGCTGTGCCAAACAGGTCAGAGTTCAAACCCTTCTGGCAGAGCATGGTGTCCTTACAGATGTTTATCTACTGTGACGTCTTTTTTGTTTGTAAGTGGGGTGCTTATTTAAAAAAAGAGAACATCAGGAATATCTCAGTACTAAACAGCACTGTCAGTTGGTCTGAAGAGTACAAAAATCTACTTGATATAAATCATATAGAATAGTTTTCCATTGTTTGCAGAAAGATACGGTTTGATTAAAAAGGGGAAACCATACTTTTACCAAAGCTGTGCAGCCTCCTCATTATTTGTCCCCTATTTGTCACTCATTTTAGATCAAACTATTCTGTATCGACACACTCGAGGCCTTAGAGCATGTGGCTTAAAGTGAGCATGGCAGAATCATTTCCAGAAATTTGATTCTCATTCTTGATTACTCCCAGATTAACTTTTTACTTCATAACTACAAATAGTTTAGAATGAGTTCAGAAAGCCACATCTTGGGACTTGCCCCAACTTGGAAATGAGAAGATTTTGCTAAAGTGTCTTGATATTAGTAAAAGTCATCAAAGGTTTGTCTAGAGACTTGGAAAGGTATGACCGTTACTCTCGAATGTTTTCAAATACAGATGCTGTATAGGAAAGTTATATCAGGACATGTACAGGAAAATTGTGTCTGTGTTTTCCATTTGTGACAGCCAATGAAAATGAATTATTCTTCATTGAAAATATCTTAAGGGATCATCACCATCATGCAACGCATTAGGTCTCATTCAAAATAAATATCCAGTTTGCAATCCTGTTTTTTCTTTTTACTTCCATGGGCTTTCAAGAAAAAGAGGAACGTAATGCCGGGTATGAATGTGAATTTATAAGAAGGTTATTACAACACGTGTCAGTGGTAGTAAATGACCTATAATTGACCTATACAACCTCTAATTGAAATCTCTTTCCACCTCCCTTTGCCGTTAATGAACCCCCAAGGAAAGAGTCAGGAAATCCACTAATGGGGATACACATAATGAGGAAGGATTTCCTTCTCTTAAGAGAAGACAGAAGTGGCAACTTCACCATTGCTCTTTTTGTATTTTCACTTGGTGTTGCAAAATTTCAGATTCCGCTCTAAATTTATTTGGCCCCTCTCTCAAATTCCCTGCTCCCCATCACTGATTTATCCTTCTATTTTGCCATACAGTGTGGAAAATGGAGAGTGGATCGCTGATTAGTGGCCGTACAAGACAGCAGTGACCTCTGAAGATGGCTGTAATTATTCTACTGCAAAATTAATGGTTTTATTATCTGTAATTTATTTTCTTATTAATCATACTCCATGTCAGAGCATAGCAGACAACCAGAATGCCATTAGTATCACAGGGGTCAGCTGTTTTAA